GCAGCATTTTGTTCGGCATTTTGTTTGAGCACCTCAAATCCGATGATTTTTGTCCAGACTCGACTCTTACTCGAGAAAAATTCTGTTGTTAAGAAAGAGATAAGCGCTGAAGAAGGCAAGGTAGAGAGAGCAAAATTGTTTGCTACCTCCTCCTTACCTTCGACAGTTTCCCCTTTGAACTTTCGAATCTACATCACCAAGTTCATTAAGTTACTATGTGGCTATGGTAAGGGCACAGGAAATAAGGAATACGGCTCCATCCAGATTTCTTCTACGTCTCAAATACTTCTTTACAGAAATCCATGCCTGAACCAGCTATCACTGTGCCAGCCAGTTCCAGTAAAGTGTTAACTTACAGCAATTATGGACAGCTTCATAAGCTCCAGAAAAACATGACGGCTTCTACCTGATCCCATCTAGCTCACTCAGCAACTACTTTCAGAAAATGCAATAAGTAGAACCAACGCACCGACCTTCATGATATTTTAGAACTCGGAAAGTTTTGTTCCTTTGAGAAAACAACATCTAAAAACAACTTCGAGCAAGGCATAATCTACAGTGTGACGATCAAAGCGGCACTTCTGTCTGTCATAAATTACCAGTCTGAAAACCGTTCGTCCCACTTCTTTCTGATAATTGCATAAAACTTGATTGCAGTGCCGGATAACCCGCTTGAACTGAAACCGGTAGATTCTGAGGTACTATTTTCATAGAAAAGTTAACTGAACAGCATGGAATTGGGGAAAGAAGACTTCGAATCAGGTACATTATGTGAGGAGGATGCAACTCCGCACACTTCAATAAGTGTCGAAAGAAAGTATACAAAAGTCCAGTACAGGAGGACACTTGCTGCTAATGTTCGTTATTTTCAGACTCCATTGACTTCAGACTTGAAGATTTCCGAAAACATGGAAATTACTTACCACAACAACAAAGAAAGGGAAAAATGTGAGATGAAGTTTTTTGGTATTAACCAGTCTACTTTTGAGTGCCCTCCTCGACCTCACCCCACCCAGAATCATAAGTATGTGGCCTCCAGAATGACTACGATGGCCAGCCGCAGAACAAGTCAATGCTTTAATTCTCTGCGCGGATCTGGTGCGGTTAGCGGGTGGAGACTGGTAAGGCTCGACCGCCTTAGTCGAATAACAAGTTGGAATTCAATCCCATCACCACGTGTGTGATTGGGTATAACCTTTCTCCACACAGCCACCTCCTCAAAGTAGGCAAAAGGGAAAAGAAATATTAGGTTGAGTCGTAAGTCCTCGTACAATGTGATAGTGATGACTTCTAGAGATCATAACTCGGGAAAGGGTGACGAAAATGGACCCGCGTGGCACTACTGGGTAGAGTATGGAAAGCTCTTCAAGATACATGCTAACGAACACACCTTACTGTTTCCTTTCCTGCAACCATGCCCTATGATTTCAAGCCGTCGCAACTCTACCTCCGCAACACCATCCTTTCTTTTTCTATCTGGCGAAGAACCCGTGGAGATCGATAGCCGTATGGAGGAAGTTCACAAGAAGGGAACTCCTGCTAGCTGCACCATTCACAAATGGCACACGAAGTTCACGTCGGACGACTATTCCATCGAAGATGAAGACCGGTCGGGACGCTCAATGGAGTTGGATTTGGACGTGCTGCGGAGCCAGGTGGAAGCCGATCCGTATCAAACTACTCGTAAACTGGCAGTCACCCTTGGGGAGCGATCCCACAGTTATTCGTGGGTTGAAGTCAATCGGCAAGGTGCGAAAGCTCGGTCGATGGGTGCCTCATGCTTTGAAGCAGTATGACATGGACTGCCGCGCCGACATGGCACTATCTCTCTCACGCTCAAGCGCAGGAAACGGTCAGGTGTATTCGTTAGTACGTATTTCAAAGAGCTTCTCATACTCTATCTAACAATGCCTCGCACGTCCATTTTCGTCACCTCTTTCCCGAGTTATGATTTCTAGAAGTTATCACTATCCCATTGTCCGAGGACTTATGACTCAACCTAATAACTTAAAATATCATGCACCAATCACATGGCATTGAGCCTCGACAATTTCTTTTGAGTACCGACAAAAACCAGCTGCCCAACTTCCATATTTCGAAGGGTCTCCTCCTTCCAGAGCTGGACCAATTTGTGAATCGACGATTAACTGTACAGTGCGTTTCATAATTATAAAGTCACCCTCGATATTTGCGATTCTGGAGAAAGCAGCGGGAATGGATTTTTGGCAAACGTAGGAAGATTCCCCATCACAATATACCTACGCATTCAAATTTTGGTGGCAATATCCTTCACCTCAAATTTTTTATGAATTTTTCGAGGATAGTTTCGGTTTTTGCACCGTTTCATAATTATAAGGTCACCCTGAGAAAGTAAATGATTTATTAACGTTGGTGGCATATGCACAACACTCAATAATCTATAGCACCTCCTTGTTTAAGAGCAACATCAAAGAGTCTGCGTGGCATACTAGAAACTAGGTTTCGAAGATTTTCCTCATCG